TTTGAGTCAGCAGCGGACCCTGGCGAGAAGTTTTGAGCCGTGAACGACAAGCAGAGATGAGCGCCCAGTGTTGAAACCGCGTCAAGATAGCTGACCAAGTTTCACGCACACTTTTGGGCTCTTCTTCAACCAAGAACAAGTAGTTTGAAGAGCGACTTAGAATCAGACCACAGAAATAAGTTTTTCGACTTTCGTCCAAAGACACACCGAAACACAAATTTCTTAGAGAGCAGACAATTCAAGCCTTAAAGTTGCCTAGTGAAAGCGTCGTGCCACAATCCACAGAACGGGTCGGGAAGTAGACATAGTCCTATGTACCGAACAAATAGACATAAAAGTTTGTTACCTTTTTCTTTGATACTTTGGACTTTGTGAATATTCATTTTATTTTCTTTTATACATAATTGTGTGTTATCACCCCCGTTGAACTCAGCTTGCATTACGGCCCCAACCCCTGTTTGATCTCGTCTGTCTAAGATCAATTCACAACGTGGGTAGGCAGACTGGAGATCAGTGCAGTTACCTTGGTAACCAGGCGTTGGAAGCAGGTTGGGAACGGCGAGGCTGGTATCAATCTAACCATATTCTTACCCGGATCATAAAAGGGTTAGAACGTCACGTTTGGAGCAGCGAGGAGCGAACAGCTGACGCCGCGGCGAATACGTCACAATTGGTGCTGTTAGGGACGTCACAACTGGCGCCGTGGTAGATCAGGATAGAACGACACAGTCGACGCTGCGACCGGAGGACGACGTCACAATCGACGACGTGACCAGGACATCAGAGCCTGGGGCAGCCACGTGACGTCACAGTAAGAAAAAGTTTATAATGTATCCATGACAAGGAGTCTCTTATAAAAAATTTTCAAGTGGTCTTAAATTTTTGATCAGGAGTATATATATATATATATATATATATATATATATATCAAGTATGCGATTGGTGTATACGGAATAAATTCCAATAACCAATAAATACTATTCTTAAAAGAGTGCTCAATACAGAGTAGAGCAAATATAATTATTTATTCGAAAATTATAACATAAATATGTTATAAAAGAAGTGTTGAAATAAATTTAGCCATTTTGTTTCAACACTTCTAGTGTCTTATCAAGTGATAATGTTGAATCTTTATAACACATTTATGTTATAATTTTCGAATAAATAATTATATATATATATATATAATTATTTATTAAAAAAAATCTGTTCCTGTTATCTGTTCAATTTCCACGAACTGTTTCGATATTTCATCAGATTTTTTTTTTTTTTTTGCTTTCTTTGGTAAACTCCCTTCCCGATTAATTTATTTGCACTTTTGAGAAGAACGATAATATAAAAACAGACGAGGCTTATTCTTGTGAAAGAATACACGGTTTTTATTTATGTAGAATTCGCCCCGAAACCGTTTCACAAACTGAAACGCCCTCCTGTTCTACTAATAACCGCGACTCTTTCTTCTTCTGTTATCCTTTTCAGATAATGTCGAGAAAAAAATGACTGAAGTGAATTATTGGCCAGCTTTCATCGCAGAGTAATGGTCGTCATCGGCTGGAGAAAAATAACAGGAAATCGAGTATACAAAGTGAACTTTATTCTAAACTAGCAGTAGAGCCCGGCGTTGCCCGGGGATATAACAGTAAGAGATAGATCAAGTATCGACCATCATAAAGACTGAAAAATAAAATTGACAAAGATTATTGTTTAAGGTTGACGGACACACATGTCTTAATTAGTTTTTTTTTTTTTTACGAATTGGTCAAATCCAAACTCAAACAAAAACATTGTTTTCAATCGTTATGAGTCTACCGATTGAATAGAATTTTATTATAAACAATTGTCTTGTAAATGGAATTTTTAAAGCATTCTGAATGTAAAAATAAAGAAAAAAGTGTGCAAGACAATAAGAAACACTACCTGCCAAAAAAAAAAGTGAAGTTTTGTTGAAATCGGTTGAAAAATGTAGGAAATCCGATCCCATATATAAACGAACACAGACACACACTCACAAACAACCTGGGTTTTATAATAAGTATAACGTGAGATGAGTTGTCCCTCTTTCATTCTGATTACAGAATCATGTTTTATCGTGTTTTCAAATTGATTTCGTGCAAAAACAATTCCAGAACCACCGCAAGGTAATTTTACGTAGTCCTGGGAAGTTTTGTTGAAATCGGTTGAAAAATGTAGGAAATCCGATCCAGTATATAAACGTACAGACACACACACACACACAATCTGCGTTTTATAATAAGTAAGATAAATATCAGCCCGCATTATGGAGACAAAATTACGGTTCTTGGTCTTTCCGAAAGATAAAAAAAAAACACGCCGTTGAAGATTTCACGAATGGCCAATCATTTCCACGTGTGCTGCCGGAGAACATTTGGCAGTTGATCGGGAGCTCAGCTTTACGGAGCTGACCACTTTTTTTCGATTGTTTTTGTTTTCTTTGTTCTTTTAGCGAATTCATTTACCGAGAATAGAGGTTACCCGAAAAACCTCGTCTGTCAATGTCGCCTTTTCGGTTACCTCCCTTTAACACTAATAACGAATGTAAATACGGAAGATGGAGTACCCTTTCAATGAGCCCCGCACTTTTTCTGTCACCCTGAGGCTAGTTCTTTCGGTTTTTTTTTTTTTTTTTTTTTTTTTACTAATTGCTTTCTGTCTGGGGTCTCAAATATATTCTTTCCTCAATTTTTGCTTTTTAGATGGAGTCACGTCTATAAATTTTGGGATGGAGTCAAGTATATAATTCTTTTCATGGAGTCACGTCTATAATTTTTGGGATGGAGTCACGTATATAATTTTTTGGATGGAGTCAAGTATATAATTTTTTGCATGGAGTCACGTATATAATTTTGGGATGGAGTCACGTATATAATTTTTTGCATGGAATCACGTATATAATTTTTTCCATGGAGTCACGTATATAATTTTTTGTATTGAGTCAAGTATATAATTTTTTGCATGGAGTCACGTATATAATTTTTTGCATGGAGTCAAGTATATAATATTTTGGATGGAGTCAAGTATATAATTTTTTTTATGGGGTCACTTATATAATTTTGGGATGGAGTCACGTCTATAATTTTTGGGATGGAGTCACGTATATAATTTTTTGGATGGAGTCAAGTATATAATTTTTTACATGGAGTCACTTATATAATTTTGGGATGGAGTCACGTATATAATTTTTTTCATGGAGTCACGTATATAATTTTTTGGATGGAGTCAAGTATATAATTTTAATGCATGGAGTTACGTATATAATTTTTTGGATGAAGTCAAGTATATAATTTTTTGTATGGAGTCATGTATATATTTTTTTGAAAGGAGTTACGTACATAATTTTTTGAAAGCAGTCACATATAAAATTTTTTGAATGGAGTCACGTATATAATTTTTGTCAATATTAATTGTCTGGAGTTTCTAACCTATTATATTAATAATTACTGTCTGCTTTTTCAAATAGATTTTCATGACAATTGCTATATACCATGACGAATCAATGCTATAATTCTTTACAATGATAAAGAGAGAGTTAATTTCACAAGTGACCATATGTTTTTTTTAAATATATTTTACTAATTCAATTAAGACAGCGTTTAATTCATTGTTATTTTTCTCATATAAATCTAGTCTGATCGATTTGAAATGTTAATTCATACTTTATTAGAATGAGTCCTAAATAATTTACGTTTTTCTTTGTCAACTTTATTCTTCAACAAAATTAAATAAAAGTATATTCTATGTTCGAATTCCACTCGACTTCATTACATTCACTTACGTACTAATACCCTTGGGAAAGGAAGGAATCCATCTCTTCTACTCCCTCCCAATGAAGTTTTTATAGTTTTGGGTGGCAAACAGTCTAGGAAAAGTAAACTCTGAATTCAAACCAGCCTGAGCGGGTTAGGCTCTGTCGTACTAACTTGTCCAGGAAGCGCTCAGATCGCACTATTCTAAAGTGCGAATAAATGCGACTGAGGACCGCTTGTAAAATTCCCACTGAAACTCCTACAATGAATTCTCACGTCCAACTGAATAAGACCTCTGCTACGCTTGATTAGCTTTCATTCGAAGTGTAGCCGAGGTGTGTTAACTATTTACCCATAGCTGGGACCCTTACAGGTGCTGCCACCCTTGGTCAGGGTGGACCTGGGAACACCAGCAAGAGGTGGTTCCATGCTCCTCAAAACCTCATTATCATAGGCCTTCCTGTTAGACTTAGTTTATCGTTAGCTTTCATTCGAGGTGTGGCGTCTTCATTTGACGTAACCGGCTCAACCGACCGGGTGAATGACGCAACAGAAAGACATGTAGGCAATTATATAATCGCCATTATTTGTTAGTTATTAATACTTTCGATAAGTTTTGAGAAAATTCCGTAGGTTTTTATGTGAAAATGGTTCGAAGAACTCTTGAATCTGGTTTACATTACAAACAGTTTTCTCCGTCATAGCACTTTGCAGGAATATTTGAAAAAAATGTCGAAATTGCTTGGAGATTCTAATCCTGATATTGGAAGAAAATCTAATATTTTAGGAATATTCCTCTCAAGACGTTGGTGATTATGGCTCTCCACAATTTCCTGTACTTTGTAGCTCTTAATAATTTTTTTCTTTTTTGTTATCTCTCCTAAAATTATATTCGATAAAAGAATATTCTATGTTATGAATCCATTTCTTCTTGACCCGCACCCACCAGCTATACATAAAATAGCAGGGAAGACTGGTTCGTATAACCTTGGGTGGTAACAAGTCTAGGAAAAGTAAACTCTGTATTCAAACCAGCCTGAGCGGGTTAGGCTCTGTCTTAATAAACTTTGGGCGAGGAGAGATAATAATGGTTTAGTGATACATGTCATACTAATTAACCCATAGATGGGGAAAGATAGGTGGCTTCATACATTTCCCAAGTGATTTTCGCGTAAGTGAATATAACGAGCCCAACACGGCTCTTTTAATTCCATTACACCATCTGCAGATTCAAGTTTACAGCACCTGGTATTCCCAAGCGGTCACCTAACTAGGTACTGACCAGACTCGACGTTGCTTAACTTCGGTGATCATACGGGAACTGATGTCTCAACGTGATATGACCGTAAGCCTCATAAATTCAGGTCAAGATGAGAAAGTTTGTCTTCTGTGTGTTCGCAAAACCTGATACTTCACTGTGAATGAAATACATGTACTCTCTTTACACACTAACTTATTGACCAAAATGTGAGCCCATGATCTTGTGCCATACTAAGATACGTTAAATAGAGTTTGTTATTGTCTGCAGAAAATTACAGATTGAGTGGGAGTTACGGTTCTATTGTCATTTAAATATTAAATCAATCAATAAATAAAAAAGATTGGTAGTAACCGGGATATGTTTAGGTTAGAAGGTCCTAGCAAGGATGAAGATATTGACAGGAGTGTGGCTGTGAGGTGGTCAGGAGTCTCCGAGACTGTTCAAAGATCATAGACCTGAGAACTGCACAAGTTGACATTTTAACATGGCGGCGTCTAAACAAAAGAACGGACATATGTCATCGTGTCAAACTGAGTCCAATACAGTTAATTTTATTTTCTGCTTGCGATAATTAAGACTGGGTAATTACCAACGACAAATGTCCACCCAGTCGCATTCTACTTTACTAGTTTTCCTCCTCACCCTTTTCTACACCCCCCTCTATATATGTCCCACCGCCTATATTTCTCTCTGCGTTTTCGTCTCCCTCCATCTGTTTCACTATACTTATTTGTCTCTCTGTCTTTCTCTCTAATCAGTTGTCTCCCCTTCCCCTCTTTTTCATCTACTACTTCGTCTCTTTCTCTCCTTCCTTCTGCGTCTTTGCTCCCCCTCTCTCCCTCTATCTCTTTGTTACCCGCCTCCTCTTTTTTCCATCCCTCTCTTTCACACCCTCCTCTTTCCCACTACCTCATTTTATCCCTCTACCTCTCTCCCTACCACTCTTTACCTCCACCTCTTTTTCCGTCCATCTCTTCTTTTTCCTCTCCCACTAACCTTCTACTTCTTTGTCTCCCTACACTACTTTGTCGTCATCTCTCTCTTTCCCTCCATCTCTATGTCTACCTTCCTCTCTCTCTCCCTCTATTTCCTTGTCTCTCTTTCCTTACATCTCTTTGTCTCATTTTAACTCTTTCCCTCCCACTCTTTCCTTCTCCACTCTTTTCCCCTACCTCTTTGTCTCTCTTTCCTTCTATTCCTTTGTTTCTTACATTTATTTCTTCCCCCTCTCTTTCCCTCTAATTTTTTGTTTCTCTTTACCTCTTTGTCTACCCATTTTTGTCCTTCCCACTCTTTCCTTCTACCTCTTTTTCTCCCTGCCTTTCTCTCCACATATCCATCCAACTCGCTTTTTCTCTCTGTTTCCCTCTTTCTTTCCTTTGTTATACCTTCTCCTCACACTCTCTCTTCCTCCTCCTCTTTCTTCTTGCACCTCGTTTCACACTTTTTTTCGCCGATTTTCTCTCCATTTTTTCTGCTTATCTCTCTCTTTTCTTTGCCTCTCACGATCACATTCTTTTGTGCGCCCACACACGCCCACACACGTACATACTCACACATAGATACCTATCTAGAAACAAGAAACATACCCGCAAATACGGGCTCACACGGACGAAATGAGTCTATTATATGATGTTCACCCTGTGCAAGACTCAAGAGCCACTCGTGATAGAGGGTTACAGAATAAGAGGTGCAGTTTATGGGGATGACTAAGCCTAGAGTTGAACAGTTTAATTGCAGTGATTGGCAGTTGGTACCACAAAATAGATGTTTGTGGCGAAAAACTGACATCTCACCAGTGGAATAGGAATGCGGGTGGTTAGGTATGATAAACATGGCATAGACGGGAAGACGTGGAGGTTAAAACTGGTGGACATATTAAATGTAGTTCATCTGAAGACTTTCCATCGTAGATCCAGGTATCAGCACACGTCATTTTGGCCTTAACATGCCGTACATCTTATAGTACCACATGGAGGGTACTTCAAGAGAAGCTCCTCTATCCGTATCATTTGCAACGTGTGCAGAGTCTCTCTGATCACTTACCACGGCAGAACTTTTGTTGCAGATGGTTTATTGCGCAAACAGCCGATCCGTTGTTTGGTTTATTCTCTAGTAGACAATTCCAGACCGGTTCCTTACATTCACTTACGCACAAATAACCTTGAGAAGAATCCATCTCTTCTCTCCCCCAGCTACGGGTTAAATAGTAGATAAGCCGATGACGCTTCTTCTAGATGGTGTCTCGCACTATGTCTACGTAGAAGACTCTTGCCATGGTTCTGTAGAATCTTATTTCTAATGTTACATGTAACAAAAACGTATTTTCAGATGGCTGTCAAAGTTTACGATGACAGCTAATTTAATGCTCGGATAGCACTATTTTAATTGACTTGTCCATTCGTAATAAAATATTGATTTTTTTTTTAGCAATTCTTTTATTAGGTCTTCCTCAAGCAACGGCATTTGTCAAAAGCTAAAAAATCTTCATTCTTTCATGATTTTAAAAGAAGGGCCCATGGTTTCTGAAAGAGTTATGTGTACCTTGTGTGAGGAATTACATTATTTACAAGTGTCAAGTTTGAACGTGTGCTTACGTCATTGATAGATGCGTACTATTGCAAAGTGAGAGAAAGTAGCATGCATTTGTCAATGACGTAAGAACATTTGTTGATGTTCTCATTTTCCTGAATTCTGCAGGCACAATGAAACCTATAGTAGTCTCACGTGAGACAAGTTTTCAAGATGGCAATTAGGGGTATGTCCAGACCCCATTGTGAAACGAAATATGGTTCCTTGAACATTACCAATTTTTACATATTTTGCGGGCAGGCTACTTCATCCGTTTCGTCATATTGCAAATGTTCTCATACTGAAATATATATATATATATATATATATATATATATATATATATATATATATATATATATCGGTTTCCTATTAAGCCTCAAACATACTATGGTACCTAGTGTTTTTTTCATTGAAACGAAGTACTAGATTAGCGTCGAGATTTCATCAATTTACAGTTCAGCTGTTGTTACCTTAATTCCTGTTCTTTTATTGTTCTCTCCCCCTTAATAGTAATTTACCTTTTCTCATATTCACTCGCATTCAGAAACCTTATGCGTCTTAGTGGCTTTGTTACCTTAATTCCTGTTCTTTTATTGATCTCTCCCCCTTAATAGTAATTTACCTTTTCTCATATTCACTCGCATTCAGGAACCTTATGCGTCTTAGTGGCTTTGTTACCTTAATTCCTGTTCTTTTATTGTTCTCTCCCCCTTAATAGTAATCTACTGTTTCTCATATTCACTCGCATTCAGTAACCTCTTGCGTCTTAGTGCGTCTTTATCGCCTTACTTGGTGAGAAATGATTTAAAAAATGACCATCATGTGAGGGCTGCCAGGTGCAAAACTTTTCTCACTTAACGTTAGGAAAAGAAAGAAATGGGTTCATAGCATGTCCAAGAATAGTCCGGAACTTTAGCAAATTAATTTTCTCGGGCGAATCATACTTAGTCCAATCTTCTCCCAGTGGACGTCTAAGTGTCTGGAGAAATCCCAGTCGGAAATTTTCGCCTATAATCAACTGTCAAAAAGATGGGTTTTCTGTAATGATCTGGGAATTGATAACGAATAATGGCTGTTCGGTCTTTGTAGAATGGAATAGCGATTTTATTGCTGCAACATATATTTCTTAGGCGTCGGTAGTGTAACAGTTAGCATGGTTGCCTTCTGAACAGTCGATAGCGGTTCGGATTGAGGAATCGGCGAGCCGAGTTCGAATTCCAGTTGAATCCATTAAATTCACTTACAAGCTAATACCCTTAGGAAAGATATGAATCCTCTTTCTCTCCTTCCAGCTATAGATAAATAGCAGGACAGATTTGGTTCTATAGCATTGGATGGCAACTGGTCTAGGAGAAGGAAAACTCTGAATTCAAAACCTGTGGAGGGTCGTTTGGGGACCTTGTGGCCCATAATGCACCAGGTCTCTGTATTCGACCCTTCAAAATGTGTGTTTTTTTTTTCTGCACAAATCCTTCATCCCTATAATCAAATTATATGTTCTGGTGTCTGGAATGTCGGTTCCTAGAAATTGAGGTGCTTGACCCTCATAAGTCGAATATGACAGGAGAGTCCACCATATATTCTTGACCTTCAGCAAGCCTTCATCTCATCTTATATCCTATCAATTTAAATGTAATATCAATCGTTATCATCTATTTTCATAATTCTTCTTCTTTTATTGTTCTCTCTCCTTAATAATGTTGTTTTCTTTTTTCTTAAATTCTTGCACATCCAATGCATCTTTGTGGCTTTATTGCTTTCCTTGGGGACCTCAAGTACACATGCCCTTGAGGATAAAAGCGTTGGTTGAAGTAATTCAGTGACTTGACTCAAAGAGTTGTGAGTTCAATACCTGGCCACAGCAAAGGTGAACAAAAACTTGGAGATTTGAGTTACTTAAGGGAAATAACTGAAACTGAGATATCCAGAAAACAGTATGGCACGTGGAATTAGAACAATCTACCTCAGTGGAGTAAATAAATGGTTCGAAATTCCAACATATATCACCTGAAGAAGTCCGGAGCGTACAACGACCGAAATGTCGTGAATATGACAATAAAGATGAGGGGCAACAGTCCGAACAATGTAAATAGCGTAAATGGTTACAATACCTTTTCTCAGAAATTTAGACAGATTCGGACTAATATCCTCATCATTGTTTCGGCCTTGTGCTCTTTAATCTTTTCAGGTTTGTCGATCTGGGTAATTTTTCATAGGTTTTCTAACTAAAACAATTATTTTATATACAGGGATAGTCTATTATCATTCTGTTTTCGTTTTTTTTCCACAGGATCTCTTAGACATGTGGTAGAAGATGGCGAGAAAAAGAGAGTATCAACTGCAAAACAAAAAAAGCAGATATTCTGTTTATCAGCATGAGAAAAAGCTGAAGATGTTAGTTACAAATTGGAGATATAATCATCAAGTAAGTGCAGAAGCTTAAATATCTGGGATTTTTTTTTAATAGACGATGGAAAATGTGACATCGAAATCCAAAGTACGCATTGGACTAGCGAAAGAAGCCTTTCAAAAGCTAAACAAGGTACTGAGAAACAGAAACATTTCCGTAGAAGCAAAATAAAAGAGTGCCGGATTTGTATGTGATATTCATCCTCTTATATGGCAGTGAATCCTAGATAATCTCCCCGCAGATGAGGAAAAGGCTAGAGGCAGCATAGATGTGAGCCTACAGAAGGTTACTGGGAGTTCCATAGACGAATCGAGTAAGCGACAAGGAAGTCTTAAAGAAAATGGCAACAGAAAGAACACTTCTACTAAGAAACAGGAAAAGACAATTGAAATTCCTGGAACACATAATGAGGAAGGAAGATTTGAAAAATTTAACCCTCATAAGACACTTAGCATCAGAAAGAGATAATTGACATTTCTATAACATATTATGAGGAAAGGAGTACTTAGATAATTGTACATTCACAGGACATATTCAAGGCAAGGGTGACTAAAAGGAACTGAAGACTTTACCAGGATTTCTTATCGGTGGGTGTAATCTTAACAATATAAGATACACAGATAACATTGTCTTGATGGCCGACTCGAAAAGTAAACTACAGGACCTCTTAGACATCTGGCAGAAGAAGGCGAGAAAAAGGGACTAACTATAAACTGAAAAAAAAAGCAGAAAATCCAGTCATTAGTAAGAGAAAAAGCCCAAGATGTGAGTTACGAATTGGAGATATAAACATCAAGAAGATGCAGAAGTTAAAATATCTGGGAATTTTTTTTAATAGACGATGTGACTCCGAAATCCGAAGTACGCATTGGACTAGCGAAAGAAGCCTTTCAAAAGCTAGACAAGGTACTGAGAAGCGGAAAGTTTTCGTCAGAAACAAAGGAGTGATGGACTGCTATGCGATATAGATCTTATATAGCAGGGAATAGTGGACAGTGTCCCCAGGGATGAAAAAAAAAATCTAGTAGTAGCAGAAATGTGGCTCTCCGGAGTGGTCCGAAAGTCATGTCACCCTCTACATAATACAATTTTCGATTTAAGATGGCTGACACTAGCCCCTACAGTTTGAGAGAGAGGCTGCTTGCAAGTATATGGAAACATAATCGTGTGTATTCTGGCAAGAGCATAGAGGATCTGCAACATGAGTTCACTGCAAGATTCGGTGAAGCAGCTCCTTCGAAGAGGGCAATTATGGGAA